GTGGGCGCCTGTAGTCTCAGCTACTTGGGAGGCTGAGGCGGGAGAATGGCGTGAACCCGAGAGACGGATCTTGCAGTGAGCCGAGATCGCGCCACCCCACACCAGCTTGGGAGCATAGCGAGACTCCGTCTCAAAAAAAAAAAAAAAAAAAAAAAAAAAAAAAAAAAAAAATTTTGATATCAACTTTGTTGTTTGAAAGTGAAGAAAAATATATCATGGGGGTTAAATAAGTGCATATAGTTAAGCCAGGTGTTGAGTGCAGTTATTAATATTAGTGAATCACAGGTATTCAATAATGCTGGTTCTCGTCTCTCCATCTTTCTTTCCCCCAGCTTTGTATCCAGTGGAGGAGGCTTGGGCCCATGCTGGTAAAATGAGAAGTTAGGGGAGGATGTCCTCAGAGAGCTGGAAGATCACGGTCCTCATTGTCACAACCCATACAGTGTTGATAGGGACAACATATGCCTTGGAATGTTTCAAATACTTTGCCACAGTTAAGGGACACCGAACAGCAGCTCAGTTTTGGAAAACAAAGTGGAATTTCTGGAAACTGCTAGCATAAAAGCTTTGACAGGGTCGCATGCAGATTAGCATAATTTTTATTACATTTTCTATTTTAGTACTGTGAGATACTAATTTGGATTTCATTGTGCCCATTGAGCGGCTTTTGTTCTTTGGCTGTGAGTTTAATTATTTAGTTATTTATGAGTGCATCTGGGCATAAGTGCCACAGTTTTATTTCGGTGACAAATTTATGGTCAGTGAATTTTAGTAATTAATGAATAAATTATTTCTCCTCCATAAATGCCTCTGCAATTTGTGATTTTCATAACAATTCATAATACTTAAGAAAAGTTCTTTATTAGTTGAAAAAGCCAATGCTAATGGAATCAGGAAAGGGAGATTTCAAATTGCTTTAATTAACTGTATTAATTAGTATCCAACATGTGTAAGATATTGAATTGGCTTTAGTTGTCTCTCTTAGCATTTAGTTGCCTAAAATCTGTCTAAGATATGAATATACTGTGTTAAAATAAATTCTAATTCTTTTGTGAAGTAAATGGCAAGAACAAAAGGCTCTCCTTTATAATCTTTAATTCATGGTGTACCCTCGAGTCCTTGAAATTTGCCAAAGATAAAAAATTTGCATATACAAACAAATGCATATATCATCATTCTAAAAAAGAAAATCATAAGCCACTTTGTAATGTGATTTGAAGGAATTAGGGAAGTTTACAACAGTTTGTATGTTTCAAATTTTTTTTTTTTTTTTTTGAGACGGAGTCTGGCTCTGTCACCCAGGCTGGAGTACAGTGGCGCGATCTCGGCTCACTGCAAGCTCCGCCTCCCGGGTTCAGGCCATTCTCCTGCCTCAGCCTCCCGAGGAGGGATTACAGACGTGAGCCACCACACCCGGCCTCAAATTGTTTTTGAAGCAAAATCAACACAAAAAAATTCGTTAAACCCTATTATCCACAAATCACTGCACTAAGTGGAGTGGGGCAAGAAATGATGAATAAGAATAATCCCCACCCTTCTGGAGCTCACGGTTGAGTGAGGAGGATGGAAGACACAGTTATTCGAATAATTAAGGGAGTTTGCAAGAATGTATGAGTATGAGCGTGTATAGAACTAGTCCTCACCAAATGCTCTGAAACAGAGCCATGCTCCTTCATTTTGTAGGGCGTGATTTAAGTTTTACTCTAGAAATATCAAACCACAGACTGTTTCCTTGAGGACAGGGATTTTTGTAGGTTTTTTCTTGATTTTTCTCTTTTCCCTCACAACAATATCCATTCCATCAATAATTCCTGTCACCTCTACTTTCAAAATATGTACAGTCATGCATCGCTTAATGAAGGGGATAAATTCTGAGAAATTCATGGTTAGGCAATTCTGTTGCTGTGTGCCCATCCCAGAGAGGACTTAACACAAACCTAGATGGTATAGTCATCTATGCACCTAGGCTGTATGGTGCAGCCTGTTGCTCCGAGGTCACAAACCTATGCAGCATGTTACTGTACTGAATACCGTGGGCAACCATAACACAATGGTAAGTATCTGTGTATCGAAACATAAGAAAGGTACAGTAAAAATACCCTCTAAAAGATACAGAATGATATGGGACCCTTTCCATGAATGGAACTTGCAGTACTGGAAGTTGCTCTGGGTGAGTCAGTGAATGAGTAGTGAGTGAATGTGAAGGCCTGGGACATTACATTACTGTAGACTTTCTAAACACTGTACAGTTAGGATATACTCAATTTATTTAAAATGTTTTTCTTTCTTTAATAATAAATTAACGTTAGCTTACTGTAGCTTTTTTTACCTCATAAACTTAAATTTTTAAATTTGTTGACTCTTTTGTAATAAAATTTAGTTTAAAACACAAATACATTGTACAGTTTTACAAAATATTTTCTTTATCTCCTCCTCCTCCTCCCCCTCCCCCTCCTCCTCCTCCTCTTCCTCCTCCTCCCTCTTCCTCTTCCTGTTCCTCTTCTTCTTCTTTCTTCTTCTTTCTTCTTCTTCTTTCTTCTTCTTCTTCTTCTTCCTTCTTCCTCCTTCTTCTTTCTTCTTCTTCTTCCTTCTTCCTCCTTCTTCCTCCTTCTTCCTCCTTCCTCCTTCTTCCTCCTTCTTCCTCCTTCTTCCTCCTTCTTCCTCTTCTTCTTCTTCTTCCTTCTTCTTCTTCAGGTTTCACTCCCATTGCCCAGGCTGGAATGCGGTAGCACAATCTCTGCTCATTGCCTCAACTTCCCGAGCTCCGGTGATCTTCCCACTTCAGCCTCCTGAGTAGCTGGGACTACAGGTGCATACCACCACACCTGGCTAATTTTTGTATGCTTTATGTAGAGACAGGGTTTCACTATCTTGCCCAGGCTGATCTCGAACTCCTGAGCTCAAGTCATCTGCCCTCCTTGGTCTCCCAAAGTGATAGGATTACAGGCGTGAGTCACTGTACCCAGCCTATGTCCTTATTCTATAAGCTTTTTTCTCTTTTTAAATTTATTATTTTTTTACTTTTTAAACTTTTTTGTTAAAAACGACGACACAAACACACATACTAGCCTAGGCCTACACAGGGTCAAAATCAGGATCGTCACTATCACTGTCTTCCACTTCTACATCTTATTCTACTGGAAGGTCTTCAGGGGCAATAACACACATGAAGCTGTCATCTCCTACAAAAACAATGCCCTCTGGAATGCCTCCTGAAAGACCTGCCTGAGACTGTTTTACAGTTAACATTTTTTAAAAATAATAAGTAGAGGGAATACACTCTAGATGATAAAAAGTATAGCATAGTAAATACATAAATCAGTAACAGTCATTTATTGTCATTTTCAAGTATTATGTACTTTACATCATTGCATGTGCTAGATCTTTCTACAACTGGCAGCGCAGTAAGTTTGTTTCCATCAGCATCATCACAAACGTGCTTAATGTGTTGCACTATGATATTATCATGGCTATGATGTCATCATGGCTACAACGTCACTAGGTGATAGGAATTTTTCAGCTTCATACTAATATTATGGGACCACCATTGTCTATGCGGTCTGTTGTTGGACGAAATGTTTTATGCGGCTCATGACTGTATGGAGTCTGTACACTTCTACCACTGGTCTACAGCCTAAGCCTCTGCCAAGACTTTCTGTTTCTTTTTGATGCTCCCCAGTCAATTCTCCACCCAGTAACCTCAATGTTTCCCTCTCTGATCCAGTCATGTAGGATTTTTTGTTTCTCCAACATGCTCACTCTTATTCCCGACCCAGGGCCTTTGTTCTTACTCTTCTCTCTGCCAGGATCATTTTCCTCCAGATCCTCTCATGCCTCATTTTCTACCTCATTTGGGTCTCTCTCTACTCAAATGTTACCTTCTTAGGTTTACCTGACTCTTTAAAACAACTTCCCTATCACCTCCACCAGACCAGTTTTTCCATGCTCAGGGTTTAAGCAGAAAATCTTGATCTGTCTGTCTGTCTGTATGTCTTTCTGTCTGTCTGTTGATTTGTACTGTTTTTCCCTCTCTCTCTCTCTCTAGCTGTTGCTGGAGCTTAATGTCCACAGGGCAGCAGTCAGGAGAGAAGAATGAATGTAATAATGGGTATATGGTAGAGTGATCAGGGGCTAACTGGAACCCACAAGCATGTGCTGAAACTCATGAGGATGGACTGAAACCTGTGTTGTTGTTGTTGTTGTTTTTGCCTTTGACTTTGCAAAGAGGATATCATGCAGAAACAAAGGCCCTTCCTCAAGGAGCTAAACACATACACGTGGCCAAGGAGTCAACCTGGCCCAGATATTGAAGAAGCTGAAGGAGGATTGGGGAAGGTAGTCCTGGCTGCTGCTTTATGCCAGTGAGGTCAGAGCAGGACAAACGTGTGCGAGCTACGAGAGGCTGCTGCCTCCCTCTTTTCTTTACATCCCCAAGAATCTTCCTTTTGGCCTAGCCAGAAATACACAAGAAATGGAATTCTGGGAAATGGAATTCAGCCCAGCCAAACTGACATAGTACAAAGCCATCACAGTACCTGCAGTAGGTAATATTGTGCTATTTATTTGTTTCATGAAAGCAGGTATTTTTCTAGTGTGCAACAGAATAGTACTTGGCACATAGTTGCTATTCAAGAAATATTTATTGAATGAATATTATATCTAAAGACATCTGGTCTGAGGACAGGAGCCATGTTCAAATCAAGAGGTTGGGAGAGCAGGCTAAGTCAACTGGCAATGCTGGTTTATGGAATGAGCTGGACCCTATTTAGAAACTGAGCAGGAAGCAACTCCCTCTTTCTCCTGCTGCCCCTTCAAACATACTGTCAGGGGCCAGATCTTCCCGTCACTAGACATAACTTTGGCAAGTCCCTCTATATACTTCAGCCATAAGAGCAGTCTCATTCAAGAGAGACTACATTAAGTCTTTAAACTTTTAACCAGGATAAAGCTTCCCCTCACCCCAGGTTGGTCCTGCTTTGAGCATGAAGTCTGTGGTGAGGGAGGAGGGCATTGCCAGCTTCTCTTCTGGGCCCTTCCTCTCCCACTTCCCTTTTACTGGAGGCTGGTTTGTCCCTACAGTGTTGGGTCATGCAGTACAGGGTATTAGGGAAGAAGGCTGTTGACTTCTGGGTGGGTGTGAGTGTAAACTGAAGTCCTTGCCCTCTGGATGCAAGACTGTGATGTATTTTCTGGTTCTTTCTTTCATTAGAGCTTTTGAGGGTTTTCTGACTGTCTTTCCTGCATAGAACTGCCAAGCAAAATTCTGATAATAATGCCTTCTCTTGCTGGTAGCTTTGGGAAACGTGCACCCTGCCTGCTGTTACATGTTCTTTGCTCACCTTTGCAGGTCCATCAGTTCCTTAGCCTTCAGACCGTGGAAGTGAG